AATATCCCAGAAAACATTCTGCGTGCAAATATCCAACAATTCACGCACAAAAATGGCTCATATTGTGCAAGCAAAATTACTTATTGAAGTGCGTCATAAACCAAATATCTGGCACTTCTTGCATGCGTGATTATAAATTAATATAAAATATATCTTTCTTTGCATCAACAAAATGGAGTGATACCGGATTGACCACATCGCCAATTGGCCAATTCATAATAGGACTCTCTGATTGGTTAATAGTTGCTGGTTACCCTAGGCACAGGTCCATATAATTGGCTGTGGTCAATCCGAACGTGGTCAAACTGGACGCTCCCAACAAAATGTATATCATCTACATTTTTAACAGTATCCATTTTATTACAGTTCTGGATGTCCACATATATAACGATTTATTATTTTTTTTTAGTTAACAGCATTTTGTACTAATTGTTAACATAATCCTGTTTTAACTTATAACACCATTATTTGAAGAATCTGCAGATAAAAATAGTGTTACTGCAAAAAGAATTCGTGACAGATGAATTTTATATTTCAGAAAATTGCAGAAAATGTTATTCTTTAAATAAACAAATACGTTCAGTAAAGGCCATTTAAGAATCATTCACAATCTCGGTTCTTTCATATCGAAAGTTAAACGACTTGAAAACTGCCATTTCGTGTATACATATAGACCTGAAAACTGCCAATTGATAAAAGACTGTATATAACTTTTATTGGATATATTTGTTTATTTAAGGAATAATATCTTCTGCAATCTCTTAAAATACAAGATTTAGTCCCCACGATATTTTTCTTATACAATAACGCAATCGATGTCATCTGCAGATTTACCAATTAATGCTGGTATACAGAGTTTCCATAAAGTCGGTCACCACACCTATATTCCGGAAATGCTCAAAATTAAATAAAGTTAAAACTGTGAATTATCACAGTTCTGTAGATGTCCACGCATATATTGGTTTAATTTTTTTTAGTTAGTAGAATTTTGTACTACTTGTGTAATATAATCCACAATTTTGACTTTCGACATCAGCATTTGGTCGATCTGCAGATAAAAATCAATCGCATTACAAGAAAAAAATTCAAGGTAGGAGAATTTTGTATTTCAAAAAATTGTATAAAATGTTATTCTTTCAATAAACAAATACGTTCAGTAAAGTGGCCATTGAAGAATCATTCACAATCTTGGTTCTTTCATATCGAAAGTTAAACGACTTGAAAACTGCCATTTCGTGTATACATATAGACCTGAAAACTGCCAATTGATCAAAGACTGTATATAACTTTTATTGGATATATTTGTTTATTTAAGGAATAATATCTTCTGCAATCTCTTAAAATACAAGATTTAGTCCCCACGATATTTTTCGTATATAGTAACGCAATCGATGTCATCTGCAGATTTACCAATTAATGCTGGTATACAGAGTTTCCATAAAGTCGGTCCCCACATCTATATTCCGGAAATGCTCAAAATTAAATAAAGTTAAAACTGTGAATTATCACAGTTCTGTAGATGTCCACGCATATATTGGTTTTATTTTTTTTAGTTAGTAGAATTTTGTACTACTTGTGTAACATAATCCACAATTTTGACTTTCGACATCAGTATTTGGTCAATCTGCAGATAAAAATCAATCGCATTACTAGAAAAAAATTCGAGGTAGGAGAATTTTGTATTTCAGAAAATTGTACAAAATGTTATTCTTTCAATAAACAAATACGTGCAGTAAAGTGGCCATTTAAGAATCATTCACAATCTCGGTTCTTTCATATCGAAAGTTAAACAACTTGAAAACTGCCATTTCGTGTATACATATATAGACCTGAAAACTGCCAATTGATCAAAGACTGTATATAACTTTTATTGGATATATTTGTTTATTTAAGGAATAATATCTTCTGCAATCTCTTAAAATACAAGATTTAGTCCCCACGATATTTTTCTTATATAGTAATGCAATCGATGTCATCTGCAGATTTACCAATTAATGCTGGTATACAGACTTTCCATAAAGTCGGTCCCCACATCTATATTCCGGAAATGCTCAAAATTAAATAAAGTTAAAACTGTGAATTATCACAGTTCTGTAGATGTCCACGCATATATTGGTTTTATTTTTTTTAGTTAGTAGAATTTTGTACTACTTGTGTAACATAATCCACAATTTTGAATTTCGACATCAGCATTTGGTCAATCTGCAGATAAAAATCAATCGCATTACTAGAAAAAAATTCGAGGTAGGAGAATTTTGTATTTCAGAAAATTGTACAAAATGTTATTCTTTCAATAAACAAATACGTGCAGTAAAGTGGCCATTTAAGAATCATTCACAATCTCGGTTCTTTCATATCGAAAGTTAAACGACTTGAAAACTGCCATTTCGTGTATACATATAGACCTGAAAACTGCCAATTGATCAAAGACTGTATATAACTTTTATTGGATATATTTGTTTATTTAAGGAATAATATCTTCTACAATCTCTTGAAATACAAGACTTAGTCCCCACGATATTTTTCTTATACAGTAACGCAGTCGATGTCATCTGCAGATTTACCAATTAATGCTGGTATACAGAGTTTCCATAAAGTCGGTCACCACACCTATATTCCGGAAGTGCTCGAAATTAAATAAAGTTAAAACTGTGAATTATCACAGTTCTGTAGATGTCCACGCATATATTGGTTTAATTTTTTTTAGTTAGTAGAATTTTGTACTACTTGTGTAACATAATCCACAATTTTGACTTTCGACATCAGCATTTGGTCAATTTGCAGATAAAAATCAATCGCATTACTAGAAAAAAATTCGTGGTAGGAGAATTTTGTATTTCTGAAAATTGTACAAAATGTTATTCTTTCAATAAACAAATACGTGCAGTAAAGTCGCCATTTAAGAATCATTCACAATCTCGGTTCTTTCATATCGAAAGTTAAACGACTTGAAAACTGCCATTTCGTGTATACATATAGACCTGAAAACTGCCAATTGATCAAAGACTGTATATAACTTTTATTTACGTATTTGTTTATTTAAGGAATAATATCTCCTGTAATTTTTTAAAATACAAGGTTTAGTTCCCATGATATTTTTCTTATACAGTAATGCAATCGATGTCAATATGCAGATTGACTAAACATTGCTGGTACATGAAGTTAAAATTCTGGATTATATATACATGTACTGATTTTTTTTAAATTATGTAATTAAGCATATCACATTAACCGTTACAGATACATAATTGTAAATAAGTAAGATTTATAGATTTCAGATTGTTTACTACTTAATAAACTAACTTTTTATATTAAATGATCACTATATATGAAATAATTTTAAGTCTCTCTAACATTGTAATTTTTTATTTTAAATAACTGTTAACATTATGAAAAAGATGTTACAGATAAATTTATCTATAACAGTAAATATATTCAATTTATCATATTTTAGTTATAAAAGTAAAAAAAATACAACGTGCAAATGTGCAATGGGAATATAATATATACATACATATATAAAATATTTTTTAGAACTACCACTAATTGGCATAAACTTTTAGATCTAAAATATACAATTTGCTAATTGTAAGAATAATATGTAAATAATTAACATAGACATTAAATATGATTTTAATGAAGTTAAAATTGTTATATTTAACATAACGGCAACTTCGGAAACATTATTATTTTCAATAAGTATAATTATAAATATTGAGTATTTTGCAATGTAAATGAAATTGAATAATGATTGTTAACATTATTAAAAAAATATATACAGGTGAGGAAAAAGTATATATTGAGAAAAATATGTATACCCTAAAATATCTCGAAAAATATAAGGTTTATGAAAACAATGTTTCAGACAAAAGTTGTAAGATTTAAAATGTTCTATTTACTAATCTTACCAGCTTAACTTTGAATGGCGTCGCCAAGGTTAGACCAAAGTCATTTTGAGTTTTTAAAATTATATACTTCCTATTTTTTATCGCATATTCTAAAAGCTTATCTCAAGACCTTCCAAAAATTCTATGACTTTATCTGTTTTATTCATTTTAAAGTTATCGAGAATTTTATAATAAGATATCCATTATGAGTCAGTCTAATATAAAAACTATTCATTATCTAATTTGAGTTTATTACTTTTTTTTATTCAGCAGGTTATAAGCTACATACGAGAAAACCAGTTGATTTTACAGAGATTCAACTTTATACTACTGTAGTATAAAATTAAAATCTTTGTAAAATTCTTGATAACTTCGAAAGCTGATTAACTAAAATAGATAAAATTATAGTATTGGAAAGATCTCACGATAGACATTTAGAATATGCAATAAAAAATAGGGGGACAATTTAAAAAATTCAATGTTACCTTGTTCTGACCTTGGCAACGTCACTCAAGATCAAACTGATAATTAAATAGATCAGTAAATAATAGATCTTTTGAAACTCTAACTTTTGTCTAAAATACGTTTTCAAAAAATACTTTTTAAAATATGCAAATTTGTATTGTATAAATTTAATACATAAGTATATAAAAATCTTTTTGATCATTGATTTATTAAAAAATATGTATTTTTTCGAGGATTGTATGGACAGATAGCACGTCTAATTTACATGATACGGATGGCACCTTTGGTTGATATATAATTGGAAGTTTTCTATATTTGAGACAAACAGATCTAAAATCATGCTATTCGCGATATGCTGTCCTCGTGGATGAGCGAGAGACAAACACAAAGCCCGCGGAGTTTTGTTTTTATCGATAAACGGACACATACAATTTGCACACGGCGTGTTGCTTTCGTTGACTTGAGGGAAATTTAAGTTTCTAAGTTTAATTATAGGCAGATACATCATCAATTACATGTTATAGGATTCTAATAATAAAAAATCTCTTTAATTCTTAAAAGTTATAATATTAAATGTTAGACTTTTGATAAAATGGTACATATTGCAACACTTCTAATTTGTACATATATGCAATGCTTTATCACATCTTTTATATACATTTAATCTTAAATAAGTTAAAACGAATGTGTGCGACAACTGTAAACGTCGACATGTAAAAATTAAATAAAGTAGCAAATATACAATTATCTCTAAATATTTTTTGAATAATATTGTCACGTCCAGCGCCTCCGTTTAAAATCCGTCACCGTCGACAAGGATCTGACGTTGTTATGCTATCACATGATGTGACTCACACCAGAGGTATCTGCTTAAATCAATATTTTCGAGTTCCTGAAACAAACAGAGAAGACACAAGCTAAATACTTACATACATTTGAAACATTCGTTATATTCTAAAATTAGATTTGTTAATATTTAGTCATACATTAAAACTAAGCACACAAAATTATTCACGATACATTAAAATCTAACAGAGTCTGTTTAAAATTAACATTAATTAATAATTAATTATTACTAGTTATTAATTGTTCATTAAAAGATTTATAATTGTCATTCTAGTTTAGTTATAATTTCACTATATACCACTGTGCTAATTACAATATATAACATTCCAATAATGTTAAAATGGGATTATAATATTATAAATTAACATAATTAACTCAAAACAATGAGTAAACGCACATGACAATTTAATTAGAAGCCTTAAGATTAAAAATATTAATTTAATCTTTAAATGATGATTAAAGAAAATGAAATTTACTATCATATACAAAACACCTTAATATATATTAAACGCAGATATGTATGCAATTAAATTAGAAATCACATGTATACATTCATTTAAAATTTTCTAATTAGACATAAGTTTGCGTATTTGTACTCATCTGGTTATTAGCAATCCCACTAGTAAACATGTATCGAGCCTCAAATCTGATACCTGAATCAAAGCAGCAACTTGTAAATGTAATGACACCAGACAGACAGACATTCAACACACTTCTCAATAAGAACATCATCTGAAAAACCAGAGAAAGAATCAATAATATATTATAACAATATTGAGTCAATTATAGCAAATTAATATCACATTTATATATATACATATATATATTTTTTAAACCTGACATATATATACATATATAGAAGGCTAACTTTATTCTGATTTTATAATTAATCATGACTAATTATTAATAAATAAACATTTCTCTGGATTAAACATAACATTAATACAACATAACATTAATAACAACACATAAAACTGTGCAATTAATAGTAATAATGAATGAACACAGTGTACCACATCAATTAAGATTTTAATCTCGCTACATATATTTTCATGCTGTGCAACACTATGTATAAGTGTGACATGATAATATATATATTTTCAAGTGGACTATCAGCCCAGCTAAATAATTAGACACCTGGCTGTCCAATAAAATAAATATTACAGGTGCTGAAAGTTTACACCTGAGACAAACATAAAGTCTGGCTTTGCAATTCACATTTTCACATTGTATATCACAGTATATGAAAATATTACGTTATACCGTACATTTTCAGATATATTATCAGCTCAACTAAGAGATAAAATGCACGATTTTCCAACAAAACAATTGTTTTCATGAGCTGACAGTTGCACCTGAGATTAAAGTGTACATACATGTATATATGAATGCATATATCAATATTTTCAAAGAACAATCACTATTCAGATTTGAAAACAGACTATATTAAACAAGACTATATTAAGCAGTAGAATGCACAGGTCAAAATTACACATTTATGTACATTATTGATATCTGTCACTCACATAAGCTCCTAACCTACCTATACTTTTCCTCGTTTGAAATGCACCGATATGACACAGGATGCAGTGTATAAGTAATACTTATACGCGCTTTATGCGGCGTCTACAATGAGATTTTTAGGCGTAAAACTTAAGAAATTGACCAATCACAGTCGAGTATTCTCTTCATACTTGACTGTGATTGGTCAATTTTCTTAAGTCTTACGCCTCAAAATCTCATTGTAGACGCCACATTAAGAACCGTCTACAATACATGTCGTAAGTCGGATGTCGGACGTCGTCTGATTGGATTATTCTTTTCTAAATTTAACTGTGATTGGTCGATTTGTTTACGACTTGCGACATACGACTCTATATAGAACAGGCCTAACCAATGATGTTCGATATTCTTCTCTAAGGTCAACTGTGATTGGATAATTTCTTGCAGCCTACAACTTACAACGCCTATTGTAGACGGCCCTTTAAAGCGTAGTCTACAATGAGACCTTAAGACGTAACACTTAAGAAGTTAATCAATCACAATTGAGTTCTTTATAAAAGAATCATGAATATGATTGGTTAATTTCTTAAGTCTTACGTTTTAAGGTTCCATTATAGACTACACTAAGGTGCGAATTCACGCTGATATATATAGTACTCCTGTATTGCCAGTTCTGTAGGAGGAACGAACGAAAACATTACAGTGCAGACGATAGCTTCCCTCTCGCACGGTAGCATGTCATATATATGCCATATATATATTTGACGCATGCGCAAAGTGCTACCGTCGGATAACCGTGCGAGAGAGAAGCTATCGTCTGCACCGTAATGTTTTCGCTCATTCCTCCTACAGAATTGGCAATATAGGAGTACTATATATATGATGTCGATACTCGACGCTCATTTCTGGCGTCAAAACAGATCACGTGATCAAAATTAACGAATTGGTATTTTTATTTTTGGTCACGTGATATCTTTTGACGCTGAAATGGGCGTTCGCATGAAAAGGCACCTTTAAGCGTGTAAGCGTCCAAAAGGAACGCATCCTGTGTCATATCGGTGCATTTCAAACGAGGAAAAGTATAGGTAGGTTAGGAGATTATGTGAGTGACAGATATCAATAATGTACATAAATGTGTAATTTTGACTGACCTGTGCATTCTACTGTTTAATATAGTCTTGTTTAATATAGTCTGTTTTCAAGTCTGAATAGTGATTGTTCTTTGAAAATATTGATATATGCATTCATATATACATGTATGTACACTTCAATCTCAGGTGCAACTGTCAGCTCATGAAAACAATTGTTTTGCTGGAAAATCGTGCATTTTATCTCTTAGTTGAGCTGATAATATATCTGAAAATGTACGGTATAACGTAATATTTTCCATATACTGTGATATACAATGTGAAAATGTGAATTGCAAAGCCAGACTTTATGTTTGTCTCAGGTGTAACTTTCAGCACCTGTAAATATTTATTTTATTGGACAGCCAGGTGTCTAATTATTTAGCTGAGCTGATAGTCCACTTGAAAATATATATATTATTATGTCACACTTATACATAGTGTTGCACAGCATGAAAATATATGTAGCGAGATTAAAATCTTAATTGATGTGGTATACTGTGTTCATTCATTATTACTATTAATTGCACAGTTTTATGTGTTGTTATTAATGTTATGTTTAATCCAGAGAAATGTTTATTTATTAATAATTAGTCATGATTAATTATAAAATCAGAATAAAGTTAGCCTTCTATATGCGTATATATATGTCAGGTTTAAAAAAATATATATGTATATATATAAATGTGATATTAATTTGCTATAATTGACTCAATATTGTTATAATATATTATTGATTCTTTCTCTGGTTTTTCAGATGATGTTCTTACTGAGAAGTGTGTTGAATGTCTGTCTGTCTGGTGTCATTACATTTACAAGTTGCTGCTTTGATTCAGGTGGTCAGATTTGAGGCTCGATACATGTTTACTGGTGGAATTGCTAATAATCAGATGAGTACAAATACGCAAACTTATGTCTAATTAGAAAATTTTAAATGAATGTATACATGTGACTTCTAATTTAATTGCATACATATCTGCGTTTAATATATATTAAGGTGTTTTGTATATGATAGTAAATTTCATTTTCTTTAATCATCATTTAAAGACTAAATTAATATTTTTAATCTTAAGGCTTCTAATTAAATTGTCATGTGCGTTTACTCATTGTTTTGAGTTAATTATGTTAATTTATAATATTATAATCCCATTTTAACATTACTGGAATGTTATATATTGTAATTAGCACAGTGGTATATAGTGAAATCATAATAATTAAATTAGAATGACAATTATTAATCTTTTAATGAACAATTAATAACTAGTAATAATTAATTATTAATTAATGTTAATTTTAAACAGACTCTATTAGATTTAATGTATCGTGAATAATTTTGTGTGCTTAGTTTTAATGTATGACTAAATATTAACAAGTCTAATTTTACAATATAACGGATGTTTCAAATGTATGTAGGTATTTAGCTTGTGTCTTCTTTGTTTGTTTCAGGAAATTGAAAATGTTGATTCAAGCAAACCTCTAAGATAAAGACGTCCTTGTCGACGGGAATTAAACAGTGACGAGAATTAAACAGAGGCGCCCACGGTGACATAATTATTGTTGGAATTAATTAATGCTTTTAATTATTTTAATAATTTAATGAATTACACTATAAGTATTTATAAAATCATTGATAATGTCAATATTCTTAATTTGTACAGAAATAAATTTTCAATGATATTTATAATGATAATATATGCTGATATTTATAATGATAATATATGCTGCCTCGTAGATGTATATTTACATCAAAATAATTATAAATTGTAAAACTATATTGTAAAACTATATTGCAAATATATTGCTTAAATCTCTAAACATTTATATAAATAACACAAATGCAATTGATACATTCTTTAATTATTTTTGAACCCTTTTTCGAATCCACTTAATAGTCATAAAAATTTGCTCAAATTTGCAAGTCTTTAATAATATTTCGTCTGTGATAATATTTCGTAGTTAATTTTATAATTGATTACGCTTTACATGAGATGCTTGATGAAATCTGTCTAAGAAAATTTTGGCTAAGTTTTATCTTTAAAAATTTATTGAGGAAAGCTGCGTCATTGAAGAATTATTTTATTTTATATGTACGTTTATATGTCGATTGGATCATATTATATGTGAAAAATGTAATGGTGTATTATTTTTTGTATAATAATAATAGAGAAACAGAAGATACTGAAGGATAAATAATAAATATATGTATAATAGGAATTGTAAAAATATGCAATTTATGTGTAGTCGCACAAACAGTATCATTCTTTATTTCATTTAAAATAATTCAAAATATTTTTTATATATAACAGTGTATACATATAAGTATATATGTATGTAATACTTATATAATAGTATATATGGCATATGCATTGCACGTGTAATCATAAGCATTTAATATATATTTAACAAAATATATGACTTTGTACTATATTACGTATTTTGCTATATTTTCTCATTTTCTTTTTTATGAGATTCGCGCAACAAAACGTAAAGTTTTGATTGATTGTGTTGAACTAAAATTAAATAATCTTTTTTTTTTGCAGAAAATAAAAACAATGTTTTTGTGATTGCTAACAGCTTAAACATTAAACAAAAATAATTCATATATTGTTTCTGAATAAATTATTAAAATATTTTTGAGTGAACATTTGTCCATTTAATATCGTTTAATTTTGCCAGATATATAATTATGAAGCCATGTTTTAATTTGCGCAACAGATCGATTGATTAAGTATTTATTTTTTTCCTTTACATAAGAAATTTTTTTGTTAGATGGCAATTGTGAAGAATTAATTTCCTCTGAAAATTCTTTAATTACTGCAGTACGTTCTTCTTCTGTCCAACGTCTTCTTTTTGTTAAACCATATGGGGATGCTACAAAATAAATTAAATATTACAATTAATAAGATTATACTACTAAACATACAGGAACAGTTCACCCGAATTTATAATATAAACTTTTATTTATTTATAATATATATTAATGTTTTGAAATATTTATTTATAATATATACTAATGTTTTACTTTAAAATATTCCTAAAAAATATTCCTAAAAATTAAAAAATAATACATTAATAAAAAATATGAATAATTTAAATAATTTAAATTTAGCTAATATAGACTATTGTTCATTATCATTTTTTAAATAAAAAATTTATTTATTATAAAAATATATTTATTATATATATCAAAATATATATATCAAAATATGTTTATTAAAATGTATTAAAATTGTATCAATCTACATTACACATTAGAACTTATAATAATATATGCTTTGACATTGTTTATGTAAAAGTAAAACTAAATAATATTTAAGAGTATACGATCTTTTATAGATTATGAAAACTGTGTAAAATAGAAAAGAAAATAAACTTACTACTGCGACGTTTTTTTATGTTTGGAGAATAATTTTCATCATTGTCGTTATATGTAATTGCATGATTTTGATGCTTAATTTTTCTTTTTATAGATTTTTGTTGTTTATTTGTTATGCAAATTTTAGAAAATTTGTTTTTTCCAGATTGTACTGAAAGAGGCTCACGTGAATTTATCATACATGTTTCGCTGTCCGATGCTTCATTCGACGTATCTGTTCTTGTACCTTCCTCTTCTATTAATAATAATATAATACTACGATAATTGTTATATAAATATATATATAAATCGATTCATGAAACTAATAGCGAATTCGACCGCTTGTACACTGCTCATCATTAATTCGTTCCATTCCCCGTGAATTTATATAGGATATGCAACATATCTGAATTAATGACGGACAGTGTACTAGTGCTCACTGAGTGCGAATGAATATTTTCAATATCACATATTCGGTTTGTGCTCACAGTTCTAACGCATTCATATTGTTGTATTCAGCAAATGAAAAATGCTTTAATGACGAATTTATATTCGGAAATGAAAAAAAAAACTGTACGAGAGCAAAAAATGTTGCACTGACTTTTCTGACAGTGCAGTTTGATACTGCACGGACACAGTTCTGCTCGCACCATGTCGAAACAGTACTAGATCAGATCAGTTAGTGCATGTATGCCGAATCACTATAAGACTAATATGTGCTACAATCATAGATGTAGATATGTAAAAATTAAGCGAAGCAGCAATAAATGCAACAATATGAAACGTCTCAGTCTCTATTTAGATTTTCTTCAGTATATCATACTTAACATATTCATACTTTGATGAATGAAGAAAGATCCAAATTAAGACTGAAATATTTCATTGTTGTATTCATTGTTATTTTGTTCCATTTCATATATATCCATAGTTATAGCACATTGAACTTTTGTAACTAATTTATAAATGCATTTGATTTTGTTTTCTGATTAACTATATATAATAAAAAAGTAAAATACAGAAATTAAAAGATAATTTTAGAAATGAAAAAAGAATATTAATATCTATTATAAAAAACTTATGTAAATATATATATATATATATATAACTTTGAAATATCACATAAAATAACAAAAGTAGTATAGTACATAATACCTGAATCGCTATTATTGGATTGCTGTTGCACATTTTCACCTAACGCTGCTTCAAGAAATTTTGTCATACGGATAATCTCTAATGCTGGTT